GAACTCTTTTATAATGTTGAAAGCATTTAAACAATGAGTAGTCGCACGAAGTTGCCGATTATGAACTATGTCGATAGAGATTGTTGCACACGAACTACACATTTTTTAAAAATGCCCTCAACAGGGTAATGTTGTTTATTCATATGTTTTCTTGGGTGTCCCCTAAAAAATAGAGTAGCCATCCAACGTGAGAGCTGAGAATGATATTTATATATGTTAGTCAACGAAAAACAAATGAGCCTTCAGTTTGTCGAGTTTAGGCAGGATGGTTAGGCAGTTGTTGCAAATTACAGCCTATAAGCGTAGGTTTTTTAGGGCATCTTTTTGTAGCGGTTTGCCATCCTCCTCTACCTCGTCTTGTCTTCAAAAGACGTACAGCAATCTACATTTCAAACACAAAGAAGGAATGGCTCGCGTGTATAAGAAATAACACAAAGGACTGTGTGATCTAAATACTGTGCAAATGATTCTGTCTGTAATGAAACGTATAAACTTGTACAACTTGTTCATATGGAAACACGTTAACAAGCGCAATTTTTCTTCAAAAATCAGAGATTTCACGGCTAAACGGTCTTAAGGTTGATAATGCGGGTAGCCGAGTATGAACTCTGCTAATGGAGATTACAGTTTACGAACTACCTACGTTTTTTTATTTTTACAGCATTCTAATGGCATTATATTTACTGTTATAATTATAATCATTGTATTATCATACACGAACGTAAGATACAATGAAAAATCCGTCTATTTTTAGAATACTGTACAGTAATTCATTTTTCATTTCGATATTTTTTTTCTTTAATGTTTGTACTACTGTTTTTCGTTGTAGTTCCGAAGGATTCCTGTGTTTGACCAAAAAACTCTCAGAGCAGTTTCTGTTCGACGCGTTTGAAAGGCTTTTCAATGGGGAATTCAAGTAATTGGCATTGACGATTATAAAACTTTTTTTGTCTCTGAATAATTACAACATTCTCTTAAAATTTAAAATGTAATTTTGCATATCTTCTGAGATGTTCAAAATTTATAATTTATTGCCTGAATTGTTTTTTATTCTGAGTCATAAGACGATATATTATTTGGCTAAAATCCTTGGTGAATACTATCTCCAAAAGGAAAGCGAACTAATGAACTGACGTCAAATATGCACTTAACGCTTGAAGGCATAAATAGGTTCTTAATGATAATAGATATAAAAGTGACGGTTAGAAGTCTTAAACAAATTTCCAATTTCTTAGCGTACCCGTCTTTTTCCGTCTTTTGAATGCATTCAGTAGCTACTGTACGCTATCGCGCTCTCTACAGTGATGGATATGCCGAACACCAGCGGCATTAGATCTCCTCCAAGTATTGCTGCTTTAACGGGGTTCGACGTATTCTCTAGAACAGCTCAGTTTAAGATATTCTCTACTGATAAGCCGTTTCATCTGCAGAGCAGAATATCTGGTCGAATTTACTGGCATGGTCATGTGATGAGGATTACAAAAAACATACTTTAGAGGCCCACTCTCATACAAAATGTAAATTTAATTAAAATTAAATTGATTGTACCATCCGCATAGATGCGTAAATACTTTAAACGAAAGTTCAGAATTCTCGTTGTCGCCAGCATGTTTCTGAAATAGTGAAATGTCGCTGTTGCAGATGGTTATGGCGTCAGAGGATACGTGTGACTCTTACAGGACAAAATGCATACGACGCACCGATGGAATTGCATGATCAGCAGGTACCGTAGCTGTTACGTTTTGTCTCTGTCTCTGTTTATAACTCCATATTTTTGTTCGTTTCCTTAGCTGATGTACCCTGAGTATCGTTGGGCGGAACACGTGCGCGAACAAGAAGACGCTCGTTTTCGTAGTCACGTGCTGAAACCAGCCACAGATTGCAGCTCCTTAGATATGTCGAATCGGGAGGAAGTGTTCCTAAGCTCAGAACTTGATGGATTGGTTGAGCCTTCAAACGTTTTGCCGTTTTTGGCATTGAATGACGTCTACATTGGTGAATCATTGTCATCACGGTTTTAACGCTCCATTTGCATTGTGAATTTGTATAGTTAAAAGTCTGGCTCTTTAGAGTTTCCTATTACGAATTACAAATTGACTCTGGGCCGATGGTTAAGCAGAAGTCTAGTGGCATTACCCTGTGCACGGGGACTGGCAGCACCAGTTGGTACTTCAACATCAACAAAATGACCGAACAGTGTCTTAAAGACCTTTTGCACATCGGTATGTAAATCGTCGACATATTGTGTATTATTGTGCTGTGTATTATTCAGATCAGTTCTGAAATGCATAACCATGCCGAAAGCAATTAATAACGAGATAATAATTAGTGGTGCACCCAAGAGAGACGTCCTAGACTACTCTTTTGGCAAAATCACGGGAAAGACGGTCTGAAGACATGCGGTTCGCCAAATTAGATTATAATAAAACGTGCATGGTCAATACTTGGAATTCAGACCACAGGGTTTGTCCGTGTGGCAGCGGACCGAAACCATTGAAAAGGTTTCCGGAAGCAGTTGTCCTTTGACATGCAACTAACGGCCAACTTTGAAAATGAATGATTGACAGTTGTAGCCTAAAAATTAAATTATTGTGATGTTGACAAGTGACTATCGTTATAGTGCTCGGGAAGTTTCCTGCTAAATCTTCATCATCTTCATCTTCCATCGCCGCATCTCCTTTCGGGTCGCGGAGGCAGATGCGTCAAACAGTGCTTCTAACGTTCCCGATCCTGTGCCAGAGTCTGAGCTTCGGCAAAAGACAAATGCAG